ATTCCAATATTTAACCATTTCTGCTATGAAGAATTTTTATACATAATTTAGTCTACCTTGCCATAATTTAAATCCACTCCTCACTGTCCTACCTACCGCAGTGAACACAAGTATGTGAACAATACTGCACTGAATAATTAAAGTCAGTTCCATTTTTACACACTGTTCATGCTTTCTAGACTTCTGATCATTTCCATTGCTTTCTTTTGGACTTTCTTTCTAAAGAAAATGAATCTATTTTCTTTATGTGTAGAATCCCAAAATGTACAAAGTGTTCCAGTCAAAGCATTATCAGCCCCGGATAGGATAATTCTTATCTGCTTTACTAACATTATTCCTATTTATAGAATCCTGTACAATCTGTCTTTCTCACAATGACATAATAAAATACTCTTGACTCCTGTTCAGCTTTAGATCTACTATAATGCACACATTTTCTCCCGTAGTACTACCTTCATTCTCCATCTAGTATTTTTATTGTTGATTCTTCCTACCTAAATGAAAACTTCTACATTTTTTTTGTTATTTAATTGCTCTCCAGTTTAACAGTGGGCAACAGATGATTATTCTATGTGTATAACTTTACAGATAATTACATATCTTCCTAACACCACATCTAGTCTACATCTGCCTAGCTTGTTTATGAGAATGTTGTGTTAGGTAGTGTCAAGAGACAAAGACAGGACATCTATTGCTTCTCTCCTATCCACAAGGCCTGCTACTATGCTCTAGGAGGAAAATAAATTAGTTTGAAATCACTCATTCTTGATGAATCTGTTGACTCATTTTCTGTCAGGAAAAAATCATTTCACAGTAGCTAATGTGCTACGAATGCACACTAGCAGTTACTTCACAATAGCTTCCCTGCGTGCACAAACTCTAAGCTGACAGTCACAAGAGAAAGGAAATCACAGTATAAGCAGACATAGGCTGTAATATGCAGATACTATCTGAACGATGTTTTTGAACACAGCAATTGCCTTTTATTCAAAAGGTAAAATACTGAGGGGGAGAGAGGAAAGGAGAAACAGGAAGAAGAGAATCACTTTTTCTCCAAAATGCTTTGTCACTGAACTTTGTCGATTTTTTTTTTTTTAAGGTAAAACGCAGCTAATGAAGCAGGCTTCTCTATTGCAGAAGCAGTGCCCAGTTGCTTGCTCTGAGGCTGGTTCATAATATCCCAAGATATCTTTCAGTTCAGTGTTCTCCAAATATATGGAACTCCTAAACCTGTATTTCTAAAGTGTTGCTCAATAGATATGGGTTTAAAATTTGCTACAGCACTCTTTATTGAGACTTACTGTCAATTAAGCATAATTTTCCTGATGTAAAACAAACCTATAAAGTTGCCTCACATCTTCAATTTGTTTTCCTCAAACAGCTCCACCAGAAAACAAACTTGCCTATCTTTATGATGCATAGTGAAGCTCCTCTACTTTAACAGCCCTTTGGTCATCTGAGTTAAAATATGAATACCTGCAAGAGGAAAACGGCTGCTAATGTGTTGAGTGATTTGATGAAAGTTTGGTAAGGCTCGTCTCTAATTTTCTTCTGTATATATATTCTCCATTTTTAAGTTTTGGAGAAAGTGTGTTTTCTTTTTGTATATATTTGAGGAGAGAAACAAGAGTAAAAGTAGTACAAAAATTACATAGAATTTATTTCAGAATTCATTTTCTTAAGAATTAGATTACTATTATAAAACTATTGCCACTATTAATGTTTCAGTTTCTGCCTCTTTCACTGATTTTAGGGTTTTTGTAACACACAAATTTTAAGATGTCTATATTCTCTCACCATAGAAATATCATAAAGAGCATCATTTTAATTTAGCATAATCACTGCCGCCCCATAAACTTACCTCTTTTGGCATGAAGGTCAAGGAACATTGCAAAGCTGACTTTCCCTCTAAGTTCACCACATACAAATAAGGTTTCGAAGGACAGCAGTCGACTTCTGTCAAACAAAGTTCAGAATTAAGTTACAGATGCTATTACACTATCTATCAGCGCTGCTCCTGGTGCTGTAATAGTTGCAGCACTTCAAATTCATTTCCAACATAATGTATATATGTACTTCCATGGTAAGTATTTCTCAGTAAGTTACAACTGAATATAATATTTCTAATGAGCGTTTTGACAGTAATCTTGAGAAGAGTTTATCACCAGCAACACTAATGAAAGTCATCAGTTTGGGAGCAGAGAATCCTTGAGGGGAAAAAAAACTTTTAATTTATTCTTGAGTGAATGTGTTAGGCAAAAATTGTTAACCAGATAATGAAAACTAATACTATAAGGGGGAAAATATTTGGCTGAAACACTGTTTTTTCTAAATGACCTTCAGGCCTCATCTACACCACAAAAGTTTACCAGTAAAGCTTGCTTCATTTTGCAGGTATTCATGTTCACTTTTAAGACATACTGTCAGAAGCACAGATTTCCAACGTGTAAGTAAAATTCTTCCAAGACTGCCATTCATCTGGGAACTGTACCATTTCAACAGTACTAAATCTATCTGAATGCCACATGTTTCTAGCACAAACTCTGTTTTAGAGGTAATTTGCAATGAGTCTATTCCCATACTGGCTACTTTCCTGTTACAGACAGGATCTTACAACTCTCTTTGAAGCTAAAATGGCTAACTAGAAGCCCACACCTCCCCTTGAAAATCTATCATATGGTAAGATAAGGCCTCTGTTCTTGTCATTTTTTGTCCTCATCCTCATACAGTTCTACATAATGATATAACTAAATGTTACAATATTGTTTTATACAAGAAAAAGTTCTGATTTCCTCAGCTTGCAAGGACAAGAAGCCATATAAACATAGCTGCAGAATTCTCTCAGGAATAAAGATGTTTGAACATAGCAAAGGGATACCATGGCTGAAGTATAAAAGGGATGAGCAGCAACAATTGGAGGATAGTAAACTGCAGAAGTCCTACCAAAAAATAAAGAACAGCAATCAAATGTCTCATGTTGCCCCAAAATCATTCTGACTCGGACATCACGTAAAGCCAAGGTTCTATGATTAACCTGCAGATGCCTTGCAGCAATTGGAAAAAGGAACCCCCAGACCCTCATATGATTATGAATTTACTGAAATAAGCTTTACTCCTTAGCAAAATAGTATGTAAAAGCCCATAAATAAAATAAAGTTATTTTGTTATGTAAACTAGGGAGAGGATATTCAGAGACTGAGTGAGTTCTTTTACATGTCTTAGCAGCTATAGGCAAAAATAAGGAGAAAAAAAATACACACACACACACCCCTCTCTCTATAGTCAACCCGATGCTTTCCAAATGCTTGCTTTTGGCAAATGGCATTTTACAGGCAAAATGTCTCCTCTGCATTTATATGAAAGAGTACTTCTAAAACAATTGCTTTAGGTTTTCTGTAAATGTGTAAATTAGTAAAATTTGTATAACATTAATTAGCACTATCCTATTCTTTACTTCATGAAAATTCTGATCTAGCAAAAGCAAATACCTGAATGGTCATTCATGTTCAATTTAAAATCCTTGTACTTGGATAAATCAAACTCCACGCTGGCACGTGCATGTCTTTCGTTCTGCAGCAAAAAGGGAATTGATTTTGTAGAACCAACATAAACACCATCAAAGTCAAATAGTTCCTGTAAGTATAAAGAAATAAATTAAGGACACAGCATTATGAAGTCATATATATGACTGATTAGTATATGAAAGATATTGCTCAGAGATTCAGAATTTATAGTGCATTAACCAGACAGCTTAGTTAATCAATTGTTTTGCCTAACCCTTGTTCTTAAAATCTTTCCAAGACATCAAAGACTACAGTTCAGAATTGAACAGAGGAGCACAGTTACAGCATGAAGAAAGTTTTCCTCATTCAGTAAATACTTTGCTTCAGCCCCCCTTCTTGCACTTTTCTCTTTGGCTACGTTAACAATCCTCTCCTTTTTAACACTTTTTTTTTTCCAGGTTGCCAGTTTCAATGGTTAAAGCTGTCAGCTATCATTTAATTTAACTATCACACTTGCACTGAGTTTTTAACTTCTCTTCTTAAGTTTTTCTCTTTGATATTTTTCAGAAGAAGTTCACATAGGAAAAAATAGAAAATATTTAGTAGGGATGAGCCACTTTGACACCTAAATAAAGCAAAACACTACCAGTCTTTCCAACAGATACAATAATACTTCATACTTACCACACTGATGTTTATTTCAGGGGTTTCTACAAATCCAGTAATCCTAAGCCCAAGTACTCTTGAGTTTCGCACTGCTACCTAAGTGATGGGAGAACAGTATGATTGTTGACAAGGACATTTTAACATTACCATCTCGCTAAGTTTGTTGTAACTACATTAAAGTTTAAAAAAGATAGATGGTGGAGAGTATATTATTCAGCATAATTTGTCGTGAAAATAACACTTCCCTTATAATGTAATTCTGCTATGAAAATATAACGAGGTATAGAAAATGTTGTTTCATTTCCTGCAATGTCTAATCACAGATTTCACTGAAATGTGGATTCAAAGGAGAACCAGTAGTGCCTCCATGGCATACCAGATCTGAACAGCAATATCCACTGATAAAAGAAAAGTAGATTCAGGAAAGATCAGTCTTTTCAGACAAAAATAATGCTGCAGGAGGTAGTATTACTAGAAGGAATAGCTTTCCGTAGCAGGAGAATGCTGAATAGATGGGTAACATCTATTCGGCAGCAGTGAGAACTGAGAAGTACACCTGAAGACAAGTTGCTTCAGAGAGGTAGTGGTAGAAAGACACAGATGCTGCTGTTCTGAGAAGTGTTAAATCCATTTGTCATTAAGTGGAAGGAATAAATGAACACTAGGTTCAGGGTGCACAGGCAACGCCAGAAGACGGAGAATGCAAGATTAGAGTCAAGAAAAGGTAGCAAAGATAAACCACATGATTATATTCTCCCCGCCCCCTGCCCTTATCCGACCAAAGGCAAGTTCAGCAAGCAGGCATTTGGAATCCAAAACAGGAGCATGTGTTTATTGCACTTCTATTATCAAATCAAATTTACCAGTAAAACCTTCTCTGAGATGACTTTCCTTGGAATAGTCACAAAGAGAAGTCAAGAAATCAAAAACACTGCAAGCACTCCAAGTCCTGCTACTTTACAGAACACAAAAGCCACAGACAGATCTACGTGACCATAAGAAGCCAATCAAGTGTTATCTTCAACAGCTTGCCAACAGCATAATAAGAATCAGCTCAAGCTGACAGGGTGTTTAGATAATGCAGAGCAAGACTGAGACCAAATTAAAAGTTCGGTTGAGGGACAGAGTAGGTTGCTAGCCATCAACAGCTATAGGGTTTTTTGTTTTTTTTTTACTGTTTCTTTTAAAACATTATGACACTGGAGATAAAATCTAAAAGATGGTCACACTGACACACATCTCCATGCATCAATATACCAACACAACACTCAAAGGATAAAGCTCTTCCAGTTTCAAATACCTCCACTCTTGTATCAAAATTCATTTTTGCATTTGGTGTGAAACTGATTTTGAGATCAGCATGGCCTCCCACAGGTATTACCCCTTCAGGAGGTGTGATTATCATTCCAGGCAGTGGATTTGAATCAAGAACCTTCAAACATAAACATAAAAAGTATTGAAATAATGTTTTACAATATTTGAGAAAAATTAATTCTCTACTAAGAAGATTTTTCACTCTTATAACCTGAACCTTCATAATGTAGGATATTCACTTGGGCTTTTAGAAGTTTGGCACAAAATCCCAGGTAGGCAGCTGAATAAATAACCAGATTCTTAGACAAAATTATCAGTTTCTACTAAGAAATATTTTTTGCACATAAGTAGGAAATTTTACATTCTATTTTTTCAATTGTTTTCATGAAGTTACTAAAATTAGGAAATGCTATCTAGCAAGCCTTCAGAATATTCTACAAAGCGTGTTTCCAGGGGAAGATAAATTCATCACTAACTTCTTTGCCATTTACAGTAAAAAGATGGAACATAAGATCCAATTACTCTAAGGTTAAGTTCAGTAAGAATATTGGGAGTAAACATTCAGTTTATCCCCAGTTAGTCAGAACAAAATACAATTTATCCACGTCTTATGTACTTCATACAGATAACTTTTTAAAGTATAGCTACACACATGTTAATCACAAAGACCATCAATCCATCTCATGGCTTAAGAAAAATCATATAGGCCTAAAAGGTAGTTTTTGTTTATCAGCAGCCTTACAATAATAAGTGTTATTACTGTGCTCTTAGAGGATGCACCTGAAAGAATAAAATCATCATCATAAACAAAGAAATGGGGTATAAATGAAAAGAAATTAATCAAGCAGTCCCATAACAACATATGAACAGAAGTTCTGTGGAGTCTAATGAAAATGATCATACTTCAGCAAATAAGTATAGGAAATCATTCCTCTTATCCGGAACTACTAATGAGGTTAGGTTTCCTACAAATTTACACTTTAACCTACTCTTTCATCCTACTCGCCTAACTCTTAGCCCATCTTCCTCTCAGCGTTAGTCTAAAGAAGTAACCACGTTTGCTGTGACTGGTCTGGGTCACTGACTGACTGGGCAGCCAGTATGAACAGAATAACTAGTGAGTTTGCTCTCTCTCTCAAAATATGTAACCATCTGCATTGTAAGTGCCTTTTCTTTCATATAAACTTTGTTTCTTGTGAAAATCAGCCATAAAATTAAGTAGCTAAATATCTTACAGCTTAGAACACAAAACTGTAACTTGATCTGATAAAACAAACTCCCTCCTCCTCCCCATCCTAATAAATTAAATGGGCTAAAAATAATTTTAGTTTACCTGGAAGTATGCATGATTGTATCCTGTGTTTTGAAGAATGGCTGTCTTACAAGTACATAAACCCATAGGAGTATGATTGAAGTGTATCCTTTGTTGCATAAACTGAACATTGGTAGGACCAAGCTAACAAAAAAAGAGAAAACAACTAAACTAAATAATATATTACTAACTATGAACAAATATTTAACATAGCCTAATTTTTTTTCATTACATAATGAGCTAAGCATACCTGTGGAAATGCATAAATTAGAAAAATTCAGATAGAGAAACACAAAACTTAAAAGGTGAGATAATACTAACTCAATCTAGTGAAGCTATCTAGAGTCAAAGTGAGAAGATCCTAACCCAGAAATATATCTAGTTTTATTTCAAGATAAATAACAAATATTTTATTAAAATTAAATTTAATTAAATTCTGGAAATGTAACTAAAGTCTAATTACAGAGGAAAAGAGTTTAAGCTCAGCAAGCCAATTTAAATTCATATATTATTTCTTTACAACACTGGGAGGAATGTTTCTCAAGTGCTATACAGGAAACTTCTAGGAAAAATGCCAGTTTTGCTCAGCTGCCAAATTATTTTCTGTGTTATGGTTAAAATGTACATGTTCATATACACACATATATGCACATATAATATATAGAGAGAGATACATGTGTGTATGTGTGTGTGTATGCATATACACACACAAACATACCTACATATGCATACATCACCACTTCTGGGGGACAGCATGACAGATTAGATAATACATCTATTCAGAGTCCAAGATCCCATTTTAATACACCTACTTCTGTTTCTGAAAGTTATTTTTCTATGATCTGAGATAAACATACATACATACATATAATCACTTCCATACTTCATATTTCTGGAGGACTGATATCTCTGGCCCACAAGAGCAGAAAGGGCTAGCCTATAGCTCTCAGTCCAGTTCTCTGCAACTGTAAAAGTTATGAAACAGATGTGTATGTTGTGTATAGGTGTGTGGATTAAAAACAAAACCTACATGCCACTGCATATCTTAAGCCACTAAGTCCTTCCCAGTACCTTGTAACAAACATGAGACCCAGATTATTAATTAACAATAATTTATCCTATCCTGAAGCTGTCCTTCAGTTGTTTCTACTAACGCTGGGGAAAATATTTTCTCTTTGTGAACTCACATCTAGCCATCCATTTAACAACAGAAAGTAAGAACAGTCATCCAAGGTCAGAACAAACGTCCATGTAGCCTATAGCCTACCTCGAACAGTGGACAACAACAAATCCTCAAGAAAGACACAGTCATATTTCTTCCTCTTCCAGCTCCAGATAGTTCTGGTCTAGAGGCCATATGCTTGTATATTTTAGTATCAAAAGGATTTTTCTACCATGAGCTCCATTAACTTGTTTAATTCAAAATTTGTGAGCAGCACAAGACACTTCAGAGATTTTAATACCAGTTGAAACTCCACTACTCTAAGTCACCCCACTTCCTGTTTTTACATATGGCCAAAAAAGGGAAGAAGAAAAAGAAAAGAGCTCAATAAAAAAGAGAAAGCAAGCACATTCAAAGGAAGGAAAAAAAACTTCTAGGCCCCCCAAATGGAAATCCTAGAGCATGCAGTCAGTAGAATACAGTAAAAAACAATCCAGTCTCCTTCACACTCCGTGGTATATAACATAAGATACCAAATGATCCACATAATTTTTCTTTCTAATTTCTGGAAAGTCTTATTTTGTCAGAGGGTTCCTTCCACGACCTGTTTTACTCCACCCTAAAATGTGGGCTTCCTCCTGCCGCTGTTTAGAAGACCATATCCAGAACATCCCTTTTCAAATGATCGAAAACCATCTACAAATGACAAGTGGAAACTTCATTAGAGCCAATTCAGAATTGTGAACCTGAAGCTGTCCATACTTTGAAACATACAATTTTTTTCTTCTCCTTGATTTGTATCCCTTTAACACGTTTCTAAACAGCTATCATACCACATCTGAACTTTCGTTTTACTAAACTGAGCAAGCCAAAAAGAACAGTTCTTTTACAGCTTAATGTCATAGGAAGAATCATTCACTTATGGTGCCAAAGGAAGTATATCATCGTGGGAAAGAAAAATAATAGACAAAAATTGAATCTGAGAGCAAGACAAAGGCAAAGTATCTTTTTGTTTTGGCTTCTTCATCATTCGTTTGGAGCAGTATTTTCATGAACACGCCAAATGGAAAGCATATGAAATTGCAAAAAAAATTTTTTTGAATAGACAATCACAGAAAAATATTTAAGAGGTTGTTTTTTAAGCAACATAACACGTTTTGTTCTCTAAGTCTGCTGAACAAAGTTATTACCTTCGCGAAACATTTCAACTTGATTGTGTTTCCCTGATGTACACACAGGTTGAATTCTCCTGCTTCTGGAGAGTGGAACGCTGGATGCCAAACAACTTCACATTCCAGATCTCTATATGCGTCCACAAAGCCTAACCAAATTTGCACAATTTACACATTGCAGCATATAAATTTCAATTATCAAATTACACAGTATAATTACAAAATAACACAAGTGTGTTAACGTCAAATGACCTTCTATTACTGAAGACTACACCTACATTTTAAAAATGCTGAACAGCATGATGAATTAAGTAAAATTGGTTTCTGAATTCTCACAACAATTGCCTATTCTCAGCTTATTAGCAGCCTGTAGTAAAGCATCTAAAGTCCATCAGTTTTACTCATAAATTACTCAAATATTTAAGGAGAACTTTTTTTAAAAAAGGGTAATCCTCCTTTTAGAAGGATAATTCTAGGAAGGAACACACACATTTTCATGACTGCAATTGATTCTGAACAGGTATCACCAAAAATATCCTATTTTTCAGGAACCAGGTCACACTAAGGTCCTGATCCAGCCAAATCGCATTTGTAGTGAAGTATGTTACCTCAGCTTACTTGGTTAGCAGTTAGCTCTTCATAGGAAAGCTCCAACACTCTCTAGATAGAACACTTTCTTCAATAGGAAAAGCAAAAGCTCACGTCTCAAGTGCATCTAACAAATATTGTTCCTTAATACAAGTGAAAAATAATCCCAGTGTATAGGCTGAATTTCATTTGTATCACTACACACTGTCTACATGGACTTCTTAACAGTTCCATTCATATATTGCTTTTGGAAAATTTCCTATCCTTATGAGGTATATGCTGCCTCTAACTGTCAATAAATAGCTGCCTCACTCCTTTTTAGATATCAGCAACTCGGACTCAGAACAATGATTACGTAAGAGCTGGACACAGAAACGGCAAACTAGAGCCGGCACGCATTGGTAGGGTTTATACAGGGGATGTCACTATGGTACAAACACTCTCTGATCCGAAATTACTTTTGCGTTACACTGATGTTGACTCTAAGCTAAAAATACAGTTGATAGCATCAGCTGATTGTTTGTCAACAATGTTTGTGGCATTATCCACATTTAAGATGCATGCAAATACACCGCAGTTGCATACTATACCTTTGGCTGGTCGTATCGAAAATGAAGTTCTTTCATCTGTAATTATAGGTTTCCAAGAAAACTCAGCAGAATAGTTTCTGCGATTGTACACCGTGACAGTTGTTCGAAATTCTGTCTCTGCTAGATAGCCAGGAATAGGATTTAGAATGAGCTCTTTTGCAGACAGCTCAAGTTCAACAGACACTGCTTTTGCAGTTACCAGCATGTGCCCAGGGTGTTTGTTGTTTATTGTGTAAGTGAAAGACCTGTAACGTAAAAAAATACATATGTATTTCTCTATATATTATGTGGTAGTCAAAATAAATGTATATAAAATATAATCATTAGCAACAAAACTTAATGAAACAATTGAGTGTGAACACATAATGTTAAGGCCGACAAGAGAGCACCATCTGCAATTGTTTTGCATGTAACTCAAACCTTCTGAAAAGTTTGCCTTCACAGACAAAGGATAACTGCCTCCATACAGTCATTTTAACATCATCAGGAAAGTGAGAGTTTCATCCTGATACCAGAAAAAGGTTTGCCTATACAATTACCTAAGCAGAGATACAACAACAGATTTGAGCACAGATGCAGAGATGCAACACTATGCTGGAAAAAGCATAGTATTTTCCATAAAGGGAAAAATTTCCCCTAACAAATATACTATAATATCAAACACTTTTTTTTCTGCTATACCTATAGCAATATCAGGCTTTTGCCAAGACAGACAAGTGTACATTTATACATTTTTTTTAATCACAACCCTAAGAAACATTCACTAGGTTAGCAAAACTTTGCATCGTGAATCTGCACTAATTTGGGAGATATTAGTGCAAATGAATATGCATCATTAACACTTATCATAATTACACTGAGTTTAAAATAACCATGTGAAATTGTTCTTTATCCTGCTACCATGAGGTTAATATATAAATCAAGACAAATGTAAGAGCCTTACTTCTGAAAAATCCCAAGTGTGTTTGTCTCAAATACTATTGGAATATAAGTCTTTGAAAGAGGAGGCACCACCTGAGACAATGGACTCGTTTGCTGTAACTCATCAGCTTCAATCTCAATTTGTACCCATATATGAACCAACAAGTTATTGATGATATGCAGTCTTCTGACAGATGTTGAGTACACACAGACATCACCAAAGTTCATAGTAGAAGGACCTGGAATATATATGAAACGAGGTCTTCAATATTACAAAGTAAAAATTTAATGTAAGGAAGCATAATCAGAAAAATTTTTGATTAGTACATTAAGTTCCTCAAAATAAAGAATTAGTCAGATAAAACAAACCTGTAATGGAACAAATTCAAATAAAAATTTGGGATTAAATGCCACGTGCGCGCTGTATTTTCAGTAGTAAAATTCAAAACTCAGCACCAATATTTATATCTTAATTCTGTCTCTACCTGACAGTAAGCTACTAAAATAGGAAAAGCAATGTGCTAATGTCTGAAAGTATTAATGTTTTTAATAACTTTTTTTTTATTAATCAGATATGTAAATGGCTAGTGAACACACAAGTCACTGATAGCTCATCTAGGTAACTTGTTTATTTTTTTTCTATCACCTGCAATTTGATGGTGACAAAATGACCTTATTACTTGATTTACCGCTATCACCAGTTTTTATGGTGGTCTGCAAACTTCTATCACTCATGGCACTAATCAAACATCTTATGAAACCTTAAGTATTTTATATTAATGTTTATTTTATTTCACCTTTCCCCAAGTATATCAATACACTCAGCTACACTAACTTGTTCCTGCTTCATTGAAAATAAAAAGAAAAATAAAATTAAAACCTAAAGTAATGAAATATCAATGAGGCTTTGTTGCTAAATAATTTTTCAAGGGAAAATAAGCTTTATGACCTGCACAAAGGTGGGAAAAAATATCTGCTTTTAGTACCAAACATTCTTAATAGGTGACTTCATGGGCTTTAGAAGGGTTACTCCCCATAACAGAGCATTCTACTGAAATTATTTTTAAGGATCCTAAAGAAGTTGTGCTTCACTGAAGTATCATTGATCTATATTAATTCCGAGAAACATTCTGAAGAGCCCCATGAATCTTGCTGATTAATGCTGCTCCACATACTACCCAAAAACAAAACATATGAGTATGAGCAGCCCTCATACCATGATGTACTAATTTCCTGTAATAGGCCTTAGTTTAAAGGAAACTGTCCATAGCTAATCATACACTTCAGTATCATCTGAGGAGTACAAGCCTCCAGTTAAACATTAATACATATATTACACTACCACCAAATTAACATTTATTCTATTTCAGGTGAACAGTTATGAACATAAATCGTGTTGCTAGAAATAAGTGCTTTTACAACAACTACATGCATATAGTAACCAAAGTGAAACCTTACCAATGAGTATCTGATGAAGCTGTTTTGGTGTCAAAGTTAAACTGCAGTCTTCCTTCTCTTGGGCAGAAGTTGGCACAGCACTAAGCCCATCCAAAATCTGCAGTAATAACAAAACATTTTCTCAGAGCTGGATCAAAATTCTTATGCTTTCTTACACAGAAAACACCTTTTGCTTCCATTACTACTCAAACATTTAACTTACTTCTTTGGCTGAGGGTTTAGAACCAATTGCTTCCAACTTGCGACTAGTCAATAGGCAAGTCTCATCGAAAGGCAACATTTTGAGCTGCAGCTCCTCCTTGTGAAAATCTGTGATGGAGATCTTTGGTGATATAAGCCCTTCTGCTGGTTTAAGGCCTATGTTCACAGAATTATTATAAGCATTAAACTGTCTATAGGAGAGAAGAAAGAGAGTATGGAAATCTATAAATTTGGACATTATGTTCTACACATTAAACTATCTAACATTTTTAAATTCAACAAATAATACTTTAAATAAGACTTTAAAGATATTTCACCATATTTCACTATAAAAAATATAAGTATATAAAGTGCCTTGGAAAGTCTTTTTACTGTATTTTTTAGGCAAGGATTAACATCTGTTACATATCTGTGGTAAGTGCTTACCATAATAGTACTAATGGGCTGCAAATATTATGGCTACCGCAATATAGCTATTGTATATTTTAAAAAAATCTTAAAGAACAACAAATTTGTAAAGTTAAACACTTAAAAGGTAACAAAGGCCAAGATAATCAATTAGCCTTTAATTGTGTATGTCTGAATTGGAACCTTTATAGCCTATTTTCAGAGTAATTAACAATTAACTTTTCTTGGTCAAAGTTCAACTCCAACCAATTTCACCTGCAACTGTATTTGAAACCTCCAGACATCTTACCAGATGTTTCACATCATGTACTCAGAAAATGATGACTAAGTTCCATAACAACACTGGAATTCATGTGCTAACCATGAAATTCTCCTATTCATTCTTGCTGTCCCATTCCTTATGCACTATACCTTGAATATGCTAGCTGCAATCATATAAACAACAGGCCTATCCACTAAACAATCCCAATTCATTTCAAGAAAACTATTTATTTGCACATGCATTGAAAGAAATTAAAAAAAAAATGCATCTCTGCAGACCTTGTCTGAATTATGATGTATATAAAGAATGTAGGGCAGATTAAGATTATAAACATTACCTTCTGGCATTACTAATTTTTAAATGATGGGTTTTGCAAACTTAACATTCTTTTATGGTGTCATTCTTGTTGTTTTGAAGGCTTTTAACACAACTTTTAAAATATCAGAGCTGTCAAGTCTTGTTTTCTCTGATTTTGCTCCACATCATAGCAACCAAATATAGCCAATTCTCACTTCATACATTTGTGTAGATTAAGGCTAGAAGGACGATATAACCCTTTAACCTACCCAGTGCATTACACAAATCACACCATAATTCCTGCATTAAATGCAACACTTTTGGATGAGGTAGACATATCAATTAGAAATACGTACAATTTTTAAAAGAGTGAGAGAGAATGTAACACAATCTTATTTTTCCTGTTTTCAATAACCAATCTTATTTAAACTTGGCATCTTATTTTAAATTTATTTTAATTTCAAGTTCCATGCCTCTATCCACATGCTTTGCCTAGTTATTGATTTTCGAATCTAAACAAATATTCAAACAAAAAAATTTTTGAATACACTACGCATGAAGGTCCCAAGACCATAACCACTTCAGCATGGGATTAAATTTAAGTATAGGATTGGTGACTTGACTAAGTCAATCTGCAGGCGCATACATACTGTTTCATATGAGCTTAAAATCTTGAAGCAAATTCTTACCTACTGGCATCTTTCTGTAAGCGATGCTGTCTCAAATTATAAATGTAATCTGCATAATATTCCTTATGTGATTCTTTTTGTAGTCGTTCACAGTCAGTATAAGAAAACTGTGGATCTACATAATTGTATCTCTCAGTCTTTGTGAAAATAGTCCTAAATATTTAAAGAGAATTGTAGTTTCATTATGCATATAAAAAGATTTTGGGTCTTGTTAGAATGAAAATATATTGATTTTGCTACATACATATTTCATTGTAAACTTTTTTTAATCACAGCTGATTAATATTTATTAGACCTTGCAAAGGCAGCCATAAAAGTGAAAAATAGAAACTGTAATAGCTACAGCTGTTTCACACTCAGGAAATGTATGTGCAAGACACTCAAAACGTATGTGTAAGTAGCCTGAGGTTAAGTAGGCCATTACGCGTTGAAAAGAATTTTCAGCCTGAAAACATAGTACAGCGTTGTAGATTAAGATCAGTTACTCATACTAGTAAAATACAGTATGAATGTTTAACTCCACGTGAAAGTATTTGTTTTTGAATATTGTATTTGCATAATTCGTTACCTGTACTTTTTATGCCGTTCACTAGGTCTAATGCTGGCTGAGCGGTCATTAGGAAAAGCTATAAGCGCATCACTCTTACAATTCCTGCTTATCCGGTGAGTATGAATTTGTGTTTGGGTTGATTTTAGTATTGCCATAGGTGCAATATCAGTGCACTGTCCCATGTCATCAGGTACAAACTGTCCAGTTGGATTGGAAATCATTGGTGTTATGCCTTAAAAATCAAATAAAACATATGTTACATACACTTATACTAGTTCTTTTTAAACAAATTTCAAAGTATTAGCTCAGAAAAAAGTATTTGATAACTTATAATGGTCAACCCAGAGATCTATCCCACTACCTTCTCCTAAACAAGAGGGAGGAAAGCATTCAGACCACAGCCAACAATGTTGACCTGCCTAGATCACCAGGCAGACAAATATAAGAGCCCAAGCCACCACTACCAGATCCATCAGTATTCTACTGAAATTGCAGACAGGCTTTATCTTGCTTATGCACATGTGACCACGTTGTCTTCAGTGTCTCAAATCTGAGGGATAAAAACACAGGGCTATTGATTTATGATGAAAAATTCCAGTGCTATTGCAACAAAAAAGAGGGCTCTCACCTTTTTCACTCTAGTTTTAGAGAACTACATACACAGTAAAATTAATAAAAAGAAAAAACGATGACCAGAACTAGTCCATGTGTTTGCTCACATCTCCTAAAATACGATATGTATGTTAAAAAGCACACAGCTAAAATTCATTTTAACAACAAAATCCATTCTTAGACCCATACACACATTCCTCCCAGAAGAACTTGATAAGCCAAACTAAACATACTGGTTATAAAATATTTCACCTTTATTTTTAGCATCTTACCAGGATTTATTTTGAATAGAATGTTTTTTGTTTTAGATTTGCACACACCAATAAATCTCAAATGCATCTGGTGAAACGATTTTGTCTTCAAGACCTGTATATTTTTGTCCTCTAGCCCTGTACCAATGATATCAACAACTTGCTTCATTTTAAATACTCCTATTTGATGTGGAGAAAATGAAAACATCACATCCTGGGGGAGGAAAAAAAGGCAGCTGAGACATATCATGAGGAAAAGAGAAAAATTATGTGCAATTCTCTATTAAAAAAAAAAACTTGCTTATTCCTATTGAACTAAGGGCCATTGTTACTTTTAAGATAGTTGTTCAATACCTAACTTTTAAAACATGCCAACGGCTATATTAAATGAGCAATATAAAGAAATATAAAATTGTTATACATTAGAACACCAGCAAAATCTTACTTGCTCATTTCTCAGACAAAGAAGTTTTCTGTCTTCCACAGTGCCCTAAGTTACATGTTTCTGAAATTACAGATGCCTCCATGTTTGACTTAAATGTGACACAACATTAATTCTAAGGACAAAACTAATTACTCAGAAATTTGTGATTTACTGAAAGATTTGAAAATAAGCCTACCACAGTTTATATGCATAAACTGCCTTCTCAAGTCAGTAAAACATCAAGTACTTAAAGCTAGGGAAAAACTAGGTAAAATTTCCTTAGTAGTATAACTTTTTTTCTGACTTAAAATAATACTTGATGCTTCCTGAAGTACAACAGAGAGTCCTACAATGATTCTACATAAGGACAACAAATTATACATTCATCTTATGTTAAAGATCATGGCTACGGTATTCAATATTGCAAATATATAGAGGAAGTGTTTTCTATGTTATACTTTCAAGAAATTTCACCATTCACTATGGTAGAGTAATATAATCTGCATATCTACATAATCTAAAGGAAAGTGGTAGATTACCTTTGTAGAGTGTTTTTTAATTTTTCCTTTTTCAGGAGAAATATTAAAGTGGGCAATCTTGCGAAAGCTGAATGTTATTGGAAGTGACTCAGATTCATTCCTAAGTCTGCACAGAACTTCTGATTGTTCGCCCAAGAAACAGTCCATAAAATTAATAACTGGTCCTGGATTGAAAGTTAGCATGACAGGAAGCCCAGAACCGGTCAGAGCTAACTCCATGTGATGAGGGTGATTCACTACATTAAACAGAGGGAGAGAAGGAAGAGGAGGAGGGAGGGAACAATGCACACACACATATTAGCTTACAAGCATAAAAATCATAAGGTAGTTATATGGTTGCAGTAACAAAATACAGTTATATAGTAACATGATTCATAGTGCAATTTTCCATAAATTTAAAACACTCATGTGTTTAATCATAGCTCCTGCTAAATATTACACTCCTTCATTAATGAAAGGGAGGAAAAACAGACATTCACTTGAAAACGCACGATAACTCTGGCATTACCAAAGTGCTGTTGACTTGCAAATAGCTTTTCACCTAAATAGTTACTTTTACAATTAAGTTGTAGGTGTTCACTGCCAGCAGGTGTATTCAAGACATGCATGATTCCCTCTTCTTTCTACTCATTACAGTTTTTTGGTAAGGCATTAAAGAAGTAAGTTCATTAAACTCAGTTTTAACATCCATATGTACATTTCTGGTAACATACTTCTGACTGGTGTATCGTCGTCACCAAGGGTCTGCAGAAAGCCATCTTTACTCCCAACAGCCTCAAATCTCATGAATAGAACATAATCTTGTTTTGCTGATGAATCACTCAGTCCAATGCCCCTTTTAAATTTCCTGCAAAAGTCACAGTCTTGAGGGAGGGGAGAGGGGAGAGGGGAGAGGGCCAGCTTTAGCATACTTACAGCTTCTGTTCCATATATTTAAGTTCGGGGAGAGGGGAGAGGGGAGAGGGGAGAGGGGAGAGGGGGAAAAACACCCTAACAATCAAGGTTTATTTTTCATTTTCGAATCTGGATTTGAAATCTGGCATTTGTTATAACTTTAAGCATGTGATCTTTATCCTTCCTTTCAGGAAACGGAAGAGTAACAAATTTAAATCTAGTAATATTTGTATGCTTATGATATTAGCGGTTTGATATCTTTTCCATTCACATACATCCACAACAGTTTTCTGAACTAACAATGCATGCATATTAATCACTTATAAATCAGAGTTTAAGTGAGGGGAATTGAAAAGAGCATATTCTCTCTGGCCTGAAGAAGTGTTCCTTTATGCGCGATATTTTTTGTTGTAATAAAAATTCTCCAACATGTTTCAGTCTCTTAGTAGTGAAATATTTATTCTTTCATACTCTTACAGAAATATGAAATAAATCTGCAGTCCTGAAAAAAACATCTAATTTGACACCATAGGAGTCTCCCACCAATCTTTAGAGATTCGACATATTCAATAGGAGCTGCAATTAGTTCCCTCGGCAGAATCTAATAAAATTCTTGTCCTTCCAGAACAAGCTTATCCAATTCCTGGTTCAAATATACCCTTAATGAACTATAAAACATCTCCCACATGATCACTTCACTATATTTACTTTCTCATTTGTAGTATCGTGCCAAAGAATTTATTTTAACACATGTAAATATATGCAATGTTGTTCAAAAAAAGGACATTAACTTAAAATTATTTTCTCTAGCACAACTGTTTATAGAATAGTTTATTAGACAAATCAGCTTTTTTGTCACTCATATTTGGATCAGGCACTTACGTTGGACTAAAGCACAATGTAATCACAGATTTCTGATAAGGTAGCAAGGTTCCTTGATTGGGAATGCACAAGATCAAGGTGGAAACATCTAGATCTCTTGTACTATTTATGAAGTTTAAGTCTTGTAAAACAGCATCTGCACTCTTCTGAAGATCTGTCCCCTGCAAAATAATCAAAATGCAGAATATATTAACAGTTCTGCCAGTCCCACTTCCCCTTTTGGTTCCTTTCACACAGGCTAAAGATAAGAAAGTGCTACAAGTAGAAAAACATAACAACGTAAGTAATAGGAGTAAGAGATCACGATTACACAGCTAATTAACTTTTAGACTTAAATTTAATGTCAGTGTTTTGAATTCCTTTTTACAAAGTTGATACTCAGTCAGATGATTTCACTGTCAGAGAAAAACAAGAGAAGCTATTAGTGTTGAGCATCTTGAAATATCAAAATATATTTTGGTAACTGATACTAAAGTATCAGTACAGGATACAAATCCTGTAAGTCAAGCAAAACTACCCACAGAATAATACGGGAGCATACTTAGCATGATTAATGCTATGATATGTCACATGATTAAACAGCAAAATCTGAAATATTTAATTAAAAGGTTAAATTATAGTAAAATTTCTGTTTGGTAGCAGAAACTGCGCTAAGTCTATGATCAGGAAATAGTATGGCACAGTAAACAACACTAGAACATGGATTTTGAGAAACAAAAATGCAAAAGCAGAAATGAAAACAAATTTTCAACTAAAATGAAAACTAGAACATCATTTTCTTACCATTTCTCCTCCAATGGCATTGTCCTCCAGTACCGCTACCCAGTTCATACAATCTGGACTTTTATTGTACAGAGCTACTTGTTCAGTCTTTGAAGACCCAAAGTAAACAGATCCAAAATGAATGCATTTCAATTCACTTCCACAAGGCACCCGTAGAACTTTAAGAACTTGCTCAACCACAACAGCTTTGATCCATAACTCAGTGCAGTTGCGTCCTTCTAGCTCCACTCTGTCAGTAACAGTAGGAGGAGATAAGTTACATATACGAAAAATTAGAACAAAAATAACCAGTTAGTTTAATTTAGAACCTACACAAAACAGAATCACACCAGAGCCTAAATCACTGGCTTTCTGTAGATAGGCCAAGCACAAAAATAAGCATACCTGACAACTCAATACTTAACAGAAATATTAATGAGAAAGAAAGTTATGTTGTTCCAGCAACACTGATCCCCTCTCCCTGCCAAAAGAACAAAACTGGAAGAATCATGCATCACACGGTGCGGCTTCTGGGGGCAGTTGTTTCTGGTTTTGTTTTTTAATTGTGTTAGTGCACTATTGTTGGAAATAATAACATCTTAAAGAATCAGTGATGCCCATAGACAACTGTTCTTTTTTCTTTGAACCTCTGCATCTAGATCTCACTTTTTGTGAGTAGTTAGTAATTTTCTCTCAGACAATTGGAGCTAGGGGTTCATCTGAATAAACACAGAATGTGGCTGTTCCTGCCTGAGTGCTTGAACTTGATGACGCCTCAGAGTACCACAGGACCACGTAGACACAGTACAAATATTTGTTATTAGAATTCTACTTAAACAAGATTCTTCATTCTTGTTGCACAAAATAATCAAGTTTAGTAATATAACATACTGTTCTAACAGAATGAACTATCCTTTCCAAAAGCTTCTGAACTGAAGAAAAAAAAAATCCTTGTTTTGCATGATCCCAAAAGGATACTATCCAAGGGTTTTGGGATGGGATCTCAAACTCATCTAGATATCTTCTTTTCAATTTCGAACATATCATGGCTGGGTTCTCCCAGATAGAAAAGAAACCTCCAAAAAATATGGAAGCAGTTTCCTCTGAAAGGAATTTAGCGTGTACACATGCAAATCGCTTAGAGGCCCATGGCAAATAGAAGCAACCAAGATTTTTTTCCAGTCAAAACTGTGCTATTTCTCCAAGCCAAATTCCTGACACAGAACCACAGTAAGACTTTCAATACAACCTATTTGGTTTTCCCAAGATGGCATGAAAAAGAAACAGTGGTGGTAGCCAGGGCAGCAAGCAAGGGACAGCAGAAGACATAACATTTTGCAACCAAAAGGTTGAAACTCAGTAACCTAGGAAAATATTTCTTTCCTAATGAAGCAGATTTAGTTGTGAGGGAGACTACTGATATTGATTCTCCTATCACTCTAGCTAACAGAATATTTCTCCTGTCATTTCCTTTCCAATAGGCAACAGAACACAAAAACACAAAACAGAACTCTACTTTGCCTCTTTAAATCACAGATCTTACTAATCAAAAACAAACAAACAATCAAACAACAAAAATAAACCACTCTTCACTATTATAAGACTACGGAATTGAAACAGGCTTTCCAAATTGGTATCCAGTTCCAAATTTTGACACTCATACCATAAATAGTAAGTCTGTACTTACCATTTAAAGAGAGATAAGGTTAGCTTTTAAAAATACTCTGTTCATAATAGTGTTAGTGGTTATTTTAAACAGATCCCTTCTATTTAAAATAAGAACCAATGAACATCATAATGTTTGCAGACTAGAGGAGACACATCTGGCCAAAAGAAAAATAGCAGTTAAAGAAGTTCAGAAAATTAAGGAAGACAGAGAATATGTAGAAAGGAGAAAGATACAGTAGCTCTTAGCTAGTAGTATAATGAGAGATGTGCATACATCCTATGTCATTAGTTCTTATGAAAGATCTTTAATAACCCAAACAGGTACACAATTTATGCGTGACTGTGCTGTGGAGATAACATAATCAGCAAATTAATTTAATGAAAATAAATTTGGAAGACAGTAACTCATACCTAGGAACTTTTTTGGATAAGCATATTCATAATAAAGACTTCATAATTAATAATTGACCCCAAAAAAATTTATAGAGCTGGATTTATGCAGTCATACACTAACTTACTTTATCACTTCTTTGATGATTCTCGGTACATCTGTACAGATACCCACTTTAATCATCTTTTCAGTTTTTGGCTCTACTACTCCGCTGGTAGGTTCTATGTTAATCAGGATAACCCCATCATATGATATTTTAAATGTACCTAAAAGAAACAGAATGTTACACAACTTAGAACTCCTAATAGAAGAATATCCCTACATACATTTGGAATAACAAAACACACACATTGCAGATATCCACAGACAGTACTTATTCCTATGGAAATAGGAAACATGGAGTGCCTCTTATTACAAAAAATTGTAACATAGAGGTGACCACCTTTTTCCAGGGTGTCTCTAAATTTTACATTCACATGTCCAATGCCACTGGGCAAGTTTTCATTATAACAGGAAAGGTAATTACACTCCAAGTCAAACCAATCATATCACAAAGAAGCTGTAAGTAACATTTTGCAAACCACAACGTATATTATAAGCAGCTCTAAGCAGCTACAGTAGCCAGAAAGTTAAGTGCATATCCAAAGAGAGGTCTATTACCTGCAACTAACTAATAGTTGTCACGACTTGATATATATACAGTGCAATTTATTGCAGAAGGAACGTTGAACTTTTGTAGAACATGTATTTTAAGGCTTTTTTTAAATGAGAAAAAAATTGACAAATGTGTTTCACTAGTAGCACTAATTATCTGTCATCATATCATAAGCAGCAAGAAATTCTTTGAAGAGTTGTAGGAAAAATGCACTGCTTTACTTCAGAAAATAGCTAGTCTCTAAAAAAAAAGATGCAGAAACAAAGAAAAGTGCTCAGACTTTGTGGAAGGGATGAGATTAGAAATGCCTTCAGTCACAGGTCAGCACAGAGCACTTCCTACTGGTACAGTTTACATGCTGCCTGTCAGTGCTACTTGCTGGGTTATGATTTTCAGAGTCTACATAAACATGGATTCAGCAGCTCCTCCTTTGTCTGCCCTCAATAGATTCTTCACTTTCAGTCTAACTCTGCAGCATCATGTAAATTACATATATATCTACGACTAATGCAGGTTTATCTAATCCTCTGTATCTAATCACCTCTCCTCTACCCAAGTAATCAGTATGTATGAGTAATGGCTGATTATATAAATTACATACTACATCTTTAAGTTGAGCTGGCTAGAAAATACTTTTTTTCCTTTAAGAGACTTTGCTTTTTGGAAGAAAAATCATCAAAAAGCTTTAAAAAATGTTGTGGCTACTGACAAAAATCCATTTTAGGATTAACAAAATGGAATTATCTAGTTTGCTCCTAACTTCTCAACAGCTTAACTAGCTGGAGGCTTGGAAAGCTTATGAATATTTCAATTTACTCTGCTTCACAGGTATACATGAAATTTCATGCTTTTTGAAACACTCACAAGTTTCATGTAGTATTAACATAATTCTGACTATGATATTTTCTCTTTTAAACCACTCTTTACCCCTGAGCTCAAGTTTTTCACATAAGTTGTTATTGTGAATTGACAAACTGAGTAAATTAATACACTTGGCAACCAATCCACCTTTTTCAAAATACCAATATTGAGCACATATATTAAATTCTAAGCTACTTTTAACTTCAAATAATCATCTCACCAGCATTTTATCCCATGCCTACAAATCTGTCCTACCACAGGCACTGTCCAAAGCACAGTGTCAACAGGTAAACAGATTTTTATTTGACAGAGTGAAAGCTTACTCAACAGCCATGTCCATTTTCATTTTTGCTTAACACAGTACGAATAAGTTTTGTTCTAAACAGCCATTTGGCTTTTTTTTTTTTTTTAAATTACAACCTATCTCTCTGTTTCTATAATCATATATTTTCTGTTGGTTCAATATTTCTCCTGGAAACCACAAAACAAACATGTTCAGAAAACATTGCCCTAACACACAGATAAAGATAGCTTGTGATACCATAAAGAGCTGTATGACTGAGGAACAAAAATAATCAACTGCCTTAAATTTGTTCTTTGAAATTCAGAATAGTTGCCTTGCTATTTCTGGAGGAAAGGGTCTACAACTTTATCAAGTGGAAAAAGCAGTCAAATACAGTCAACTTGGATCACATAAGCGTTCTTATACTACATTCTCCACGTTTTCTATATTCTTTAGAAGGGTCCCTCAGAGAAGTTGAAGGATGAGCGTGTTTTGAAAGCTGTGTGATTTCAAAAGCTATTGTGGCAAGGAGAAAGACCTCTCATTATCTTTTAGTAAACACATATAGTCAACTCCAAGCACTTAAGCTCTTAAAAGACAGGGAGCTGAATTTGTTTCGCCAATAGAAACTACTGGGACTACAGAATCACAACAAAGACAACAAAGCAAAAGCAGACATGATTTGCCATTATTTATGCTGGGCATCATAACCTAAAGGACATCCATTATTTTTACACCTCTCAGATGGGATTCAAAGGTAGAAAACTCCTGGGACTCAAAGTTCTGCACTCATTTCTCTTCCCTAAGCAGCAGCACAGTATTTGCCCACAAAAGTTAAGGGTCTTTTACAAAACCTGTAACTACAATACTGAATATGCATAACCCAGAACTTCAGTTAATCTTTTGCTGTGTGGGATCCTGAACTACTTGGTCACTGAGGTGTTAACTGGCATAAAATTACATTTTCCAAGAAAATTACATCTTTGTACAATTGAACACATAATAAATATTTACCTGGAGATGATCCATGGTTAGCAATGCTAATCTCTTTACTAATTAATTTACTGTTTGCAATCACTGTACCAAAATTAATCTCAGGCTCAATTTCCAGATAACAGCATGGAATTAATCTGCAGAGAAGAGACATGGTTATATTTTCCCCCAAACCTGAAAATATATTTGGATTTTAAAGGAATTAGTTTGAATACTACAATGGAAAAAAAGTTTTGCTTTTCTTCTAGTTCTCCTAATAATTTAATATTTATGCAACTCACTTCAGCAGCGTAGTAAACATTTGGCACTTACAGAAAAGATCTATCTACTGTCAATCTGTCCACTTTAATTACAGTAACTATTGTGTGTAACATTAAAACAATTTAGCTTTAAGAGATTAGTTGACATAAAATGTAAATAGAAATGTATACATTCTCATTACTATAACATAGTTATTATAGTACAAAAATGTTAAATTATTAGAAAAGCTTTCATTATCTTCAGCTAGCTGCAGCACAAAATAAGACCAAAGTTAACATTTACTAGATTTTATCATCAGCTGCCTGAACTAAAATTAGAGAAAAACATGCATGTCATTTTCAATTTACAGTCTTGTATTATAAACACCTTCTGCGATTTCAGCAAAACTTATTACACCAAATATAGGTGGATACTGACTCAAGCTATTCGTATTATTTAAAAACCTCAGCCAGCATGATGACTTCATTGTACTGCACAACCATAATGAAAAGATACTTGCTACAGAAAACCAGGGCTTACTTGAAGGCCCTAATTTCTAATTTGTATTTCACTATAACAAAATAAAGTCTGATTCAGCAATGTTCTTTAAATATAAGCCTCTGAACAGGTGAAGTAACAGAAGTACACTATATGTGCAACAAATCTTCAACAGTGAAGAAAAGAATTCTGTTTTCGTCTTTGCTTTGCAACATTCTGAGGCGGCCAAAAACTTTAAAAGAAAAGATGAAAGTCCATAGTAAAGCTTCAACAGTGATACACTGTAATTTTATCAGCTGTCCCTGCTATTTTTCAATAAGAAAAAATTTAGGACGACATAAAGCTGGCATTTTTATTTCTGAACAGCAAATTCCAGAGAGTTTGAAGCCTGAGCATTCACAGGTACCTCTGAAAACTGCTGTCCAAAGTATGAGTGACAATAACACAGTGTGCATACCAACACCTACTAAGATGTCCACAAACATTTGTTCTGCAGTTCCAAGGGACAAAGAGAGCCAGGTTCAGACCTGGAAAGGATGTTCATATCCAGCTGAGCCCAGAACCTGATTTTTAACTGTTCTGAGGTCACATCTACTGACACAAATCTGCAGGTTTGGTTTAATGAGAATGCTAAGTGAGTATGGCAAAACGAACCTGAGAATTTATTAGGTTCATCAAACAACTGAAAGATGGCACTCTTGCAATATATTCAAAATACTGCATTTCAGTGTCTCTAATTTCATACTGTTTTCATCTCAACCTATAACAAATTTAAAAGGACCTCTGCAGAGTAGCTCTGCTTCCATCTTTCACGTAGCATTAGAGAAAAATCATCTACTGAAATCAAGAAAGTGGATTTGTTCAGCTATGTCATGTGTTATTTCATGTAGTAAAGGACAAGATGCAACTGGAGGAGAGAAAGGAGTTAGAGAGGCTAACAGTCTTGTAGGTCTGTTGCATCTCATGATGCATTGCTGGATTGATAGATTACATACAACAGAGAATATTAACAGGAAGAGGAAGATAAACTTTCTTGGCCAAGTTTGATAGTCCCTGCCTGTAATAAGGTACTCATGAAGGAGAGACAAACATACATACATTTATAAGGAAACACAACCAAAGAATACTCTTTGGAATACTAATATACTTTTTAAAGTCTTTATCTCTTGCATCATGATAAACTTAGCACAGTGAATTCTTGAAAGAGATTATCTACACTAGCAGGATATGGTACAGAAAAACAGGAGACAACTATTAAAATTACAGTGAACTGGAAAAAACTGTAAAGAATTTGCAACACGTACCAAGTACTCCAACAGTCTTCTGAGAAGCTGTATCAGAAATAACAGACCTAAGAACATCAGCCACTCCAGGTACAAATATATATAGGTTGTGCAGCTGGCGTGAGGAACAGGGTTTTAGTTTCTATGAGCACAAGACCTCGTTTGAAGACTGGCAACTGATTGGAAGAGATTGGATCCACCTCACTAAATGGGGCGCACGTGTCTGCCAACAGGCTGGCCAGCCTGGTAAGGAGGGCTTTAAACCAGGAAAGATAGGGGAAGGGCAGAGTTACAGATACCATGCAGTCAGCAAAACAGGGCTCAACTGGGGATCCCTCAGGCACTGGCATGCAGGCAAGGAAGTGCCTACAAGGCTCTTGCCTGGGGGAATTCCTATGGGGAATTCTCTTGCATCCTTTCCAGGAAATCAGCATGCTCAGATGCCTCTCTGAAGCACCTGTACACAAAGGCACACAGCATGGGGAATAAATGGGAAGAATTAGAGATCTGTGTGCAGGCGCAGGGCTATGATCTCAGTGCAATTACAGAGACATGGTGGGAGAGCTCGCATGACTGGAATGCTGCAATAGATGATGCTCTTTAGGAAGGACAGGTCAGGAAGGCAAGGAGGGGGAGTCACCCCTTATTTGAGCAAGCAGCTGGAATGCATGGAGCTCTGCCTAGCAGTGGACGATGGGCTGGCCATAAGCCTGTGGGTGAGGATTAAGAGGCAGACTAATATGGGTGACACTCCTGTGGGTGTTTGCTACAGGCCACCTTATCAGGAGGAGGAAGTAGATGAGGCCTTCTACAGACAGCTGGAACTAGCCTCACGATCACAGGCCCTGGTTCTCATGGGGGACTTTAACCACCCTGACATCTGCTGGAGGAACAACACAGCAAGGCATAAGTAATCCAGGAGGTTCCTGGACAGCTTTCTGACACAGCTGATAGAAGAGCCAACAAGGAGTGGTGTGCTGCCAGATCTTGTACTTACAAACAAGGAAGGGCTGGTTGGAGAGGTCAAGGCTGGGAGCAGTCTTGCTGCAGCGACCATGAGATGGTGGAGTTCAGGATCCTGCAAGGAGGAAGCAGGGCAATAAGAAGGATCACAACCCTTAACTTCAGGAGAGCTACTTTTGGCCTTTTCAGGGACCTTCTTGGAAGAATCCCATGGCATAAGGTTCTAAAAGGAAGGAGGGTCCAAGAAAACTGGTTAATATTCAAGGATCTCCTCCTCCAGGCTCAACAACAGTGCATCCCAATGAGCAAGAGGTTGAGCAAAGGGGGCAGGAGACCTGCATGGATGAGCAAGGAGCTCCTGACAAAACTCACACAGAAGAAGGAAGTATAGAGAAGGTGGAACCAGGGACAGGCCACTCGCAAGGAATATAGGAATGTTGTCAGAATATGCAGGGATGCAATAAGGATCTTCAGTAACAAAAGGAAATGAGGGAAAATGTGGGCCCACTAATGAATGGGGCAGGGGCCCTGCTGGCCAAGGATACAGAGAAGGCAGAGAGACTGAATGCCTTCTTCGCTTCAGTCTTCACTGCTAAGGCCAGCCCTCAGGAATCCTTGGCTCTTAGAGACCACAGAGAACCTCTGGAGAAAGGAAGACTTTCCCTTGGTGGAGAAGGACCAGGTTAGGGATCACTTCAGCAAACTGGACATCCACAAGTCCCTCGACCACAACAGGATGCACCCACGAGGGCTGAGGGAGCTGGCAGATGCCATTGCTAGGCCGCTCTCCATCATCTTTGAAAGGCCGTGGCAATCGGGAGAGGTGTCCGGAAGGACTGGAAGAAAGCAAGCAAACATCACCCCGTTCTTCAGAAAGGGCAAGCAGGAGGACCCAGGGAACCACACGCCACTCAGCCTCACCTCCCTCCCTGGAAAGGTGATGGAGCAGCTCATCCTGGACACCATTTCCAAGCCCATGAAGGACAGATCCTGACAGCAGTCTGCATGGATTCACAAAGGGGAAATCACGTTTAACCAATCCGATAGCCCTGTATGATGGAATGGCTCGCTGGGTAGATGAGAGGAGAGCAGCGGATGTTGTCTACCTTGACTTCAGCAAGGCTTTCGACACTGTCTCCCACTACATCCTCACAGGCAAGCTCAGGAAGTGCCGGCTAGATGAGTGGACAGCACGGTGGGTTGAGAAGCGGCTGAACGGCAGAGCTCAGAGGATCCTGATCAGTGGTGTAAAGTCTAGTTGGAGGCCTGTAGCTAGCAGTGTCCCCCAGGGGTCCATACTGAGTCCCATCCCCTTCAACTTTTGCATCAAAGACCTGGATGAAGGCACACAGAGTGCACCCTCACCGAGTTGGCTGATGATACAAAGCTGGGAGGAGTGGCTGATACACCTAATAGTTGTGCTGCCATTCAGAGGCACCTCGACAGGCGGGAGAAATGGGCCAGCAGGAGTCTCATGAAGTTCCACAAAGGGAAATGCCAAGTCCTGCACCTGGGGAGGAATAACCCCAGGCACCAGGACAGGCTGGGGGCTGACCTGCTGGAAAGCAGCTCTGCAGAGAAGCACCTGGTCACCCCTGCTGGGCGACAAGTCGACCAGGAGACAGCAATGCGCCCTCGTGGCCAAGAAGGCCAAAGGCATCCTGGGCTGCGTTAGGAAGAGCGCCACCAGCAGGTTGGGGGAGGGGGAGATGATTGTTCCCCTCTACTCAGTGCTGGTTACACTACACCTGGAGTACTGTGTCTCCTTCTGGGCTCCCAAGCACGCGACGGACAGGGACGTACTGGAGCGAGCCCAATGAAGGGCTACAAAGATGATTAAGGAACTAGAGGAACACATTGCCCAGAGAGGTTGTAGAGTCTCCTTCCTTGAAGATGTTCAAAAGCTGTTTGGACATAATCCTGGACACCTGGTGACCCTGACAGGGGGGGTTGGACTAGATGATCTCCAGATCATCTCTTAACCATTCTGTGACACAGCTTCCCAAACACACATTAACAAGAATTAACTTCCATAAGATTCCCTAATAGATTCAATTATTGAACCATGCAAAAAATGAAATAGTGAAGATAGTGAGCTTTTTTTAAAATAGGGTTTTTTGTTTTTGTTTGTTTTTTTTTTTTTAAATGGAAGCTACCCCTGGAAATGAGTAACTTCAGATATTCTCTTAAAAGTCTGTAAAAACAAGTGTATTCATTACATTTCAAAAAAAAAAGAATTTGAATGAGAGTTTCAGCTAAGGGGTTTTTTTGTTGGTGTTTTTTTTTTGTTTAAGTTCTGGCTTGTTCAAAACACAATCCCAAGCCTTAAGTATAGTGTTTTCTATGGCAAACAATTATTCACATAATTCAATTATTACACTTGCATTATAGAGCATACCACATCCATAGTGCTGCAGAGATGCAACTAAGCATATCATGTGGCCTCCAAAACCAGTATAAAATACACAAGACAAATCACTGAGATTAACCACTGAGTTATTCATATGTGCCATACAGATACCTAAAAAGCAATTTTACTTGCAAATCAAACAACTGTGATATCAAAGTCACTGAAGCACAATAGAAATAAAATTCTCTTGGTGGCATTTCTACCAAATAAATAGTTACAAAAATAAGTGGAATAAGTGTTATCGCAGTTTACTGTTGTATAGGAAACTAACTTTTCCTACATTCTGGGTTAATCATTTCTCAGACTTTTTAAAATAAGTAGGTAGATGTGACTGAAGTAATTGCACAAATTGTTAGCAGAAGGTTACATCTTTTCATGCTTTCTTTCTCAATTGCCAGTAAATTTTAAGAAACTTCTTCTTTCAATAAAATGCTATGAACACATACAAGGAAATCCAGAAGTACTACAGACTCTTAGAGTATTGGGTAAAAGTACATATTAAACTATAGTCCATACAGAAATAAAAGCTGAATAGTGTTATAACTTGAAAGATAGCAGACTAGATGTAAGCTAATAGGTAAGACATAGCAGACAGTAAAGTGCACAACCCAAATAATATCAGCAACTTCCAAACATTTCTTGCATTACACTAAGTAATCTTAGATTATATTTATCAATTTTCTAAACTTGCTGACATGCTTTAAAATGATAGGACTAGATGTACAAGTCCTAAAAGATATTGCTAGTATATAATTTTAGTGACATGCAGCAGAGACAATGAAAATAAACACTACATTTGAACTGGACAAAACTCAGAATTTGTAGTTGATGAGAAAATTTGGTTTTGCATCATGGAAAAATATAGCACTTGTGTGAATCTAAGTTTCACACAGTACTAAATCATTAGCAGTTTTTGAAATAAGCATTTCATCTTTCAGTATTTTAGTAGTAACAGTGCATGTTATTTTATTGATGTATCACCAATAATGTAAAATTATTAAACATATATAAGTGCACAAACTTTTAAATAAGAAGGAAAACTTGGAATTATATAAATTTGCGGTTATATTTCCCCCCAAAAAAACATTACAAGTTTTCCTTTAAAGTATTTTTCAAGAACTTTCCATCAAATTAACAACTGCTGTGGACAAATCACATTTAAAATGACATTTTAATCAAAAAATATTATTCAATCAGTATTACAATGCCTGTGTTATTTTCTCAAAATGCTCAATGGTGTTTTAAAAAATATGATATTTGTATAGAAAAATATTATGTATTTAGTAACCCTTCAGTGCAATAAATTAATATCATCTGCCTATAAATAGCACACATACATAATATAAAATGAATCTGTGGAAAAAAATGACTAACAGAATCATAAAGTATGTTTGTTATTTCCACACAAAAAATTAATAAACTGTTATAGTCTGTCAATTTTTTCCTGGAAAAGCCAATTAAATTCGAACATTTGAAATACTCCAATAATGTAATGCAAGACCTTTCCAGGAAGGAGTTGCTAATAGTGTTATTGTCTTAAATGAAATCTGGGAGAATATATTTGGAGACAGCTACTTTTAATATCTTACACAGACATACTTAAATATGACTGCCACATCAGAGGGCTGAAGAAATACTAGATTCTGTATGTACTATGTAATATCATAATTCTTCCTTGTCTTGAAATCAAGAATAACATTTAAAATAAAAAAAGTATAAAATGATCATCATGAATTGCTACATTCTTATTAATTTAAGAAAAGTCATCTCTGTCTTTTAGAGAAAGAAAAGCATTTAGGGCTTTCCATTTAAGTTCTTCCACACCTAACAATTCTCCTCCACCTCCCCCCCCCCTCAAAAAAACCCATATCATTTTAAGTATACTCAGAAATTAGTCAAATGTGTAGAATTCTAACTATACTAATTCAGGCTATTCTATCTCAGGGCATCCTAGTATTAAGAGTAATAGTAACAAGAATTTGGTATTGCCTATGGCTAAGAAACTGTTCGCCCAGAAAACAAAGCATGCAACTAAAGACGCTCGCTCTCAGTAAATGTCCTGGCAGTTCTGGAGTCCTTTCTATGTGGTATATTACACTCAAGAAAGTTGTCCTGAGTTACTGGATTTCCCAAAAGCTTATGATCTTCAAAAGTAAAATGGCAGCTGGATTGATCCATATGCATTATAATAAGCCACAGGAGTAGCTCCAGAGAAAACTGTAATAGCATTGTTTAATACTGTGTAAGCTCCTGTTCTCTTAAACAAATACCACTGATAATTATGTAACTTAAATTATTATTTTTTAGACTTCTGATGGTACACATTATTTTGCTAAAAAGTGACAAAGTTTACAATAGCTTGAAAACCCCATGTCAGGCTATTAAGTAATTTCCATGCTATTCTACCAATAGTACAATAAAGGAACAATACAAGTTTTAAGATCAAAGGAATAAAGCATATCAGGGAAAAAAAGAAATGACATAAGAGGCAACCAAAGTATAGAATTAAGTATTTCCTATCTGAAGGCAAAATCTTACACATTTCAGACTTCTGTGAGAGATTTGGGAGGTTTGTTTTAATTCATATACTGCACATTCTCCATGGAAATCCCTTTCTGTCTATACATCTTTTTAATGCAAAAGTTTTTACAAAAGCTATGATCTGCAATAGCTTGACTCTAGAGATGGGATTCATCTGTTCCAATATAGGTATCTAAAAGTGGAACCTTTAAATAGAACTTAGCCATTCTAAGTTCTCTTGGTAGAAAAAGGACAGAAAGGTACTCCAGAACAATTCACCTCTTTGTACAATAACCATATCTAACATTAGTCTGAAGAATCACCTTTTGGAGAGGTTCATTTATCTCCACTAACTATCAAGAAAGCTTAGGCTGAACAGCTCAGACTTTGGCATCTAGTTTTTAAAGAAGGAAAATGAGGTGACCTGAAGCACATTCTATATGCTTTTTATACTGAAACATATCAAAAAATTAAAGTTGCATTTAGAAGCTTACTTTTTCTAACCAATATACATGGGTTATAAACAATATACACAGACACACACTGAATATATATATATATTTTTTCCACACTGCTTGATGAAAATGAACTTGTGACTTTATTTTAAAAATATATACAACATTTTTCAAATTCAGTAATATATGCTTTACTACAATCCAGTTTCGTAGATATGGTCAATTACTAAATCTTCTTATATAAGTGGTTCTCTAAGGAGGGTAGAGATGAAAAGTAAGAGATTAACTTGTCTAATGCTGATCTAGGATTAGAAATTACCAGTTATCATGTCCAATACAGAGTAAAGCAGAGACAGGAGCCTCTAGGAACTTAGACATCACCCTGATTAATTTCTTCCCTGTGTGCTGCTTTAAAAAAAAGTTACTTCTGTAAGGAGACTCATTTGTTTTCAGTGCAGTTGACAGATTAATTACATAACTATATGTGATATGAGCTGGCACACTTTCTACAAAAAACTGCTTTTAAACCAAGAATACTAGAAGCAACATATGGAATTTGACTATCATACCCAAGTAGGGGGATATCAACTATGTCTTCTTCTATCAAAAGTAGTAGTCTATCGTGAAGATCTTCCTCACTGTCAGGATAATATTCCACAACAGCTGTAACTTTAAGTCCAGATGCAACAGGTTTTTCTGGATTTTCCACAATCAGTTTAAACTACAATTTAAAAGACAAGTATTGAAATTAATTTTAAAACATTTCTAGATTTAAAAAACCTACACATAGGGATCTTTTTCAGCAGAATACATAGTTTGATTTAAAATTCACAATTGATTTAAAAGTATGCAAAGTTTTATAAATACAGACTTTTTAATCAAAGGTCAGACTTTTTACAGTAACACAGAAAGACAGAATGAATACTAAACCATCAAATTACATGGAACTGTTGATTTAACAAAATACTATTTGTAGCGCTTCCAAGAGAGCTCTAGATTTTGCTACTGCTGCAGTAACCTTCTGCAACAACATAAAATGAAGTCAGCTACTGTTTAACAGAGAGTCTTTCTAGTATCTAAGAAAGTATCAAGGATTAAGTCTCAATCCAAAACCAGCAACAAAAGGAGACAGTGTAAGAACGTTCCTGTTGGTCTGACCCATCTTCAGCCGGGGTCTATAGAAAGTTTCCAATAGAGTTCACTGAAAGGCATACTGAAAATATGCCTGAAAGGCCTACATATGTCCGTTCTTTTTAGGGCCAGAGGAAAGGGAGAGAAACAGAAACAGCAGAGACCCAAAACACCCTTTTCCTCCCTCTTAAAAAAGTCTGAATTGGTCGTTGTCCGGATATCTGCTTATATTCAGCATCCCCTGCATAACTCCATCTTTCCTTGAACAGAAAGATGTGAGCAAACCGCTAGCACCTAGCAGCAATCCAGAAGCTCCCACATTCCTAAAACTTTAGAACAAGGTCTAAATATTCTCCAGAATTTCAGTCTCTTTACAGTTCAGATCAATCTATGCATAACAGGTTTCTACTGTGGATGTCAGAGAGTTTCAGTATAATGTTTATTTCTGAAAGAGAGTTGTCCCAGGAGTCTTTTAAGTTTACTGTTCTAACCTGTATCTGGAGTATGAAAACATACAACTTACTGTTCATTGCATTGTCTGAGCATCTCCTATTCCGTTAAAAGTTTCACAGCTTATAAATAATATAAATATTAAGCTAAAGGAGACTTGTTACATAATACTAAACTATGGGATAGTTTTTGAAAGAGCAGCAAGTAGTCATGTTTTAATTTTAAACTGTAAAATTCATCTCTTCTCTAAAGAGGATTAAACAGCCATGCATATTCATTCTCTGTAAGGGAAAATGAATATACTGTACTAAAAAATTTTTGTGAAATCTGTTGAAAAAACTGCTTTGTGGACTAAATACCTTGAAACCTATTCTTTGGCCGTGTACTGTGATAGCTCAAGGAAGGTTATTTTTCATTTCTTGCGTTCTATGAATGTAACGCCTCAGAAAATTTACAGGCAAGAGTCATATGCTTCAGAGCCACGTGCACAAAGACAGTAGTATGGAATGACAAAGAGCAACAGAACAGAACTTTCTGGAACTGACTATGTAAAGTAGATCCCCATAATTGTCATCGCATGCCTAATACCTGTAAAATATTCAGCATAAGGCATGAATACCAGTATTCACTCACAGATGCACTATCTCAAACATTATAGCTGAGTAATCTTTTTTCTAAATTGATTCTGCCTCTTCACTTCCAATGCACAGGAAGAAGTGATGAATAAGGCCGAGGAAAATCAACAAAATGAGGAATAAGCACAGCCCTACCAAATCAAGCACTCACAACAGCTTCCAACTCCCTGCAAAATTCTTCACCAATAGTGTAAAAACCAGGCTGTATAAATCAAGTAAATTTGCTCATTTTAGGGAGAGATAAAACGCATATAGAGTTTTCACCAGTCTTCCCCTAAAAAAAGCAAAGGCTGACTGTTCAGGTAGCGAAAACTCCAAGGTACACAATTAACTGATAATAATTTTGATGACCAATTCAGAGTATACTTATTCATAGCTTAAGCTTGCTGTGAACAGAAAGCAGCATCAGCTTCCATTCAACTCCCAAAGCCTACTCAAGGCTTTGATCCTTACATTGAAAGCAACTGATGATAAAATCTAGCTCAATAACGGACCAATATAAAGCTCTTAACCACAGCTAGGCTTTGCTGGGCCCATATAGGTCACAAGTCCAGAGCTAAATTGCTTAGAACTGCAAATAAGCATTTGCTTTTAAAAACTCTGACTATGAAATGTTTTTTCCACAATTAATGAGATAAATGTAGAATCAAACGACCTTGAGAAAAATTATGAAACAAGCAAGCAAAACAAAAATAATGCTACCCTCAAAAAAATTTAGAATACAATGCAGATATTAAGTAACAGAACTATCGATCAACACTGATCAAATTCCAGCAAAAACAATTACGAAAGTTGCATCCTTCAGCTGCTCTAGAATACTTACAAACTTGGTATTCAGATCTATAGCAAAACAATCCTTGTCTACGTGACCCTCCCTAGCAAAAGAAAAAAAAAAAAAAAAAAGAGAGAGAGGAACTCATGGGCCTTTTGAGGAATAATATTTCCAGACAGCGCAAGAAGCTCCAGGAAAGCTAAGCAGCGTTTCTATCAACAATGGACTCTCTGTAGTCAGACATACAGGAAAGTTTAACTCCTAAATTACTTCTACTGAAACTACGGATTTAATGATTTGGTAGAACAAGGAAGCCCTTTTCAAATTGCTCATGATCTCAAGAAAATAAAGAGATGAGAAGACTGGACCTCATTTCATTCTGACTTACAGGCTTTAAAGAAGCAGCTCTTTTTCTGGTATCACAGAAATGCCCTCTACACTTTCTCAGAAGAAGCAAATAAACTAACACTCCCTCCCTTTTTCAGGGGTTGTCACACAAGAAGTAACTCAGATAACTTTGGCTCTAAGAGCTGCCTCTTATTCCTTCCAGCTTATCCAGTTATTAATTTAATTTCCAGCACTACTTGCAAAAGTCAGTGAGTCTCATCAGCTATCAGACTTCCATGGCAGCATTTTCCATTCACAGAGGCTCAATGCAAACAAGTACTACATCTACCTGAGCAGCCTCTTACAAGGGGCCTACCTAACTGGGCAAAGCTGCCAGCAGAAGCTCCCCCCGCAAAAAAATCACAGAAAGTGAAAGCACGGCCTGAAGACGCTTTTCCCTCTGGGAATGCTCTGTGCCCCAGAGGCTATTTACGCAGGCTACGCGGGGCGCGGCGCTGCCCAAACACAGGTGCCGCCCCCGCTGACCTGCGGCGGGGGGCAGAGGGTGCTC